GGTGATGACGATAGTGATAATAATGTAAACAAGAAACAGTTTTTCATCAATAGGTATGTGCTTATTCCCTTGACTGAAGGGAGGGTCATATGAAATAAAATGCATTTGTATGCTTGTATGTTTATTTGCAGTCACGTGTATAGTTACATGTCAGCATATCTATAGGAATTTTTTATAAAGCTTCACCAAAGGTAATCAGGGTCGGGGAATCCGAACTGCAATTCGTTTTTCGAAATTTTGAGTTTTAGTTTTTTTAGATAAGGAAAGACTTATTTTAAGAAAAAAAATGATTTCTTATAAAGTTTGACCGAAGGTAATCGGAGTCGAGGAATCCGAATCCGTGATTAGATTTTTGAAATTTTGAGTTGGAGTTTTTTAAAACAAAGAAAGTCTTTTTTTACGAAAAACAATGATTTTTTTATAAAGTTTGATCAAAGGTAATCGGAGTCGAGGAATCTGCATCTGTGTTCAGTTTTTCGAAATTTTGAGTTCGAGTGTTTTTAGGAGAGAGAAAAGAGGTTTTATAAAAAAAAAAGACTTCTTGTTTAAGTGAAGGAAGAGTCATACGAGATAAAAGAAGTTTGGTTACTTGCCATCTCTAGGTTATGAGTTACGTGTCTACAATCATATTTCATAGATCTCAACACAGAATACTCCATTGATTGTTAGTCTCAAAACAGTCTTACTGTGTTGAATTTTTCTTCTACAAGACTTCAGTTATAAATTCAATGATTTTTTGAAGGAAGGAAAAACTTTAACGGTTAGATTGTAAATTAACGTGTATAATTCTTTGGAGAAGTAGACTTAGGCAATTTGCGCGGCTAGCCGTCGATCTAAAAGGTGTATTAGAGATTAGCTTGGGGAAAGATCTGGATAAGATTTAGAACGTTTCTCAAGAATATTCCAGAAAGATTTCTTTCATGAAGGATTACAGTGTACTGTTGATTTTCAAGATTAACAGAGAAATTCAAGAGAGAAGGAGTACTTCACAACAAAAAGTTGTGTTTGGAATTTTCTCTTGAGAAATCTTCTATTATAAATACAAATTTGTTGCAATAGTGAATCTGAATTGGTTATATTGTAAAAATTAGTAGATGGTCTTTTGAGATATATATTCGAGCATGCGAGCGGCTAGTCGTTCTGCGGTACCGCTCCGGCTAGCCGCTCATTTGAAAAATTGGTCGAAAGGAAGTTTTAAGGCTACTGGAATAAATATAAAAAGTTTCTATCGAATCAGTCGTATAGGCTGAAAGAGTGTTCGCGAACGATGGAAAGGTGAAAAATTATTTTTTCCAACCAAGTCTGGTAAACAAACTTTGTACAGACGTACAACATCTCGGAGGTGTTTTTGGTGGAAAGCAAGAATAGATATATTTGTGTTAAACTAGGGTTCGTGTGGATAAAAAGACATATTTACAGTGGTTAAACGTAAAGAGTGATCACTGAGAAATTCACATTTAGGATACATTAGATACAGAGATAATATGTACTTGTTTGCATACATTATGAAGACAGAAACTATATAAAATAAGAGTTAACAACCGTTTGAAGTTTCTTTCCTTTCTTCAAATATAAATATGGAACTTTTTCTCTATGGTTAAGATCTGTGTCAAATCTTCAATACTATAGCAAGCAATACTGTAAGCTACGTAAACATTGATCTTTTATGAAGAAAGCGGTATCTTCAGTGGTGTTCATTTACTAGTGAGATGTTTTGTGAGATCCCAATGAAACGAGGTACCTGAGTAGCTGGCTCGTAATCTGTTACTTAGTCTGGTTGGTTATTATCTTGTCTGATCAATGTTGAACACCATCGACACTCTCTTGAATAAGGATTAGAGACTCATTGATTGATATTGATATACTCTATATTGATTGAAAAAAACAAAATCTTCATTTTTCTTGAACAAAAATGAGCAAAAGAGAACATTTTCCAAAGAAGTAAATATACCAGTCTCCACAGGCCTGTAGATTTTCCCATACGGCCTTTTTTGGCCCTATGCTTAGGAATGATTTGTGAAAAATGCAGGATCGTGGGCAGGCGCTCATGACGTTTCAGTTAAGAAGGAATTTTAGCAGAATAAAGATTTTGCAGGAAACTCTATTCAATTCTACTTTGAACGACAAAGTCACACTCAAGATAGAACTATGGGATCTGGAAATAGAGATGGTTCTAGATAAAAGTGAAAAATTCGGAAGAAGAACATAAAACGTTGGACTACATCTAGGGGAGATTGAAGCATGAGTGTAACTCAACCATGATGACCAGATGCGAGCTGTGTACTAAAGTATATTTTAAAAAGACTCAACAGGAAATAGAAGCATTTGATCTTTTTACAAAATGGTCGTGACTGACAATATTATAGATGGATTTTGCATGTGTGCATGCTGAACAAGAATTCTCAAAACAGAATTCATGATGCGATAAGAGATGATTAATAGATTGAATTCAGTCGAGGGTTAACGGAGTCGAAGCGACGAACGTTACTTGTATATGACTAACTTTGAAACACATACAATGAACATATCATTATTTTTAGTTTTACTGATTGGCACCAATGTTTCAGTAGAAAACAGAGCGATAAGAAATACATCACATTAGATAATGATACTAAATATAGTGATAGAGATGAAGCAGTTAATATTCTTCAATTAGTAAGCATATTCAGAAAAAATTCATACTGATTAATGCATTTGATTCAATTATAGTTTCGATTTGCAAATCGTATCGATTTAGTCCTAATGTTCATTACTTCTTGTATGATACTGCTGCATGCGATGGGCATTCTTGTTAGCAAAGTTCTGTTCGGTCGGCTAATAGGCTTATTTGCTATTAAATCATTTGATGATTATTGTAATGCTCAACAGCAAAATTTAATTTACACGGTTAAAAGCAACAACACATATTCTCAAGGCAACGATTTTAATATATTCAATCATGCTTCGTCGTATAAGTAACTCACTAAAAACGATTATTAATAACTGTATATTTCTTCTATATTATTGTGGTACGTTTTCATCTTAGAGTGCGCCGTAATAGTGATGTAATTTTGTCATCGACCTTAGGCCCATTAATGCCTTCATTCGAAGAAAAGGTTATGAACATAGTTTACTGGTTATTTAGTAAGTGAAGTGAAAGTCATACTTTGATAATAACAAATAATGAAAAATGTCTTTATTTCTCGATGAATGTAGTTACTGGTGCGGTCGAATTTTTGACTGGCTCGCTTGACAATGTCATGTGGGAAATCAGTATCAAACGACAAATATTTCTTATGAATGCTTCTCTCTTCCGATCATTGGTTCAACGCGTGAGTCAATTACATTTTCGATGACAAATAAAACATTCGTCAAAGTCTAATTCCAATCTTTTCTTAACATTAATGTAAACTTAAAACATCTCATACTCTTTCTTCTTCGAAATACTCACCATCAATAAATGAGCAATTCTAGCAAATCCATGAAATAACCTAAAATGTCTATATAAAAGTAATAGACACTTCAAGATACCTATATCGCTTGAAGTTCTAGATCTAAAAGTAGGAATTTAAGACAACTGTACAAACGTATTCTTAACCTCGCTACTACTTACATACTATATGCTTTCCTAGAAGGTCATACAAATATAATCATCTTGAAATTTTATAGTGCAATTCCGATCAGTCATTGCCTCTAAGGGAATTTGCAACTCCAGCACATAATGTCTTCACAATGACGAAGACCGGAATCTTCATTATTGATAGACATTTAGAAATAATAAAACTAGAAATATTTCTGGAAAACAGAAGATCAAATAGTTTAATTTTAAAATGATATTTTAGGAACACTCATGAACGCATGCTATTATTTCCATTGTATGCTTAGTTTCCTAGATGAATGCGTATGGAAAAGACTTTATTCTATCCAGAGATGCGCTGTTTCGACTTGAAGGAGGTCATTTTATCTACGAAATTTGTAGTGATATTGGGTTGCTTTAGAAGAAAACCTCTATACATGTTGTTTTCTAATTTCAATGATTTTCCTACCTTCACATAATAGGTAATATTGTAGTGGAGCTCCTAAAAGGTTTTCAGTCATTATTGAGACTGATCCGAGCTATTAAATGTTTAATATGTTTATTTGTTAGACGCCTCTGTATGACTCGCAGTTGTCGAAAAAGTTTCAGTTTTGAATTTTGTCCTGAAACTATCTCTATTTGAAGGTCTCACATACAGTTGCTTCTACGAAGAGTTGTAGAGTGTTTCAATATTATATCTACGCGATAGGAACTTTTCAAAATGTTACTTTTTATTGTTCACTATGCTTCAACAAGGACTTATTAAGGAAAAGTTCCTATCTAGAGGATAGGAAATCTGCAAGCTCTAAAGCTCCTCAGACAAGCCACTGTATGAGAGACTTTCAAATGGAAATAGTTTCCAGATAAAATTCAAAAGAACAATTTTTTTAAAACTCGAGAGTCTCACATGAATATTAAGTAAAGAGACTCTTACAATTTCAATATCTCCACCAAGTCTCAATAAGAACTGAAATCTGTTCATGGCTGTTATTACAAAAATATATAGTATCTATCTGCAAAAAATAATCAAAACCAAAAGTAAGCATCTAGGGAGATTCTTTTATTAGATCGTTACTATAGTAAAATTTGATAGTTGAGGGATGCAGTCGGACTTCAGTTGGTATTAACCTACATCACGGTCGGATTCTAGTCGAAGTTAACTGATTTTTATCAATCACAATTTAACTTCTGTTGACTTGGTAACTTGTCGAGTGAAAATAGAAACCATCTGATAGAGAAATCATCGATTATAGAAGCAAATGTAAAAGAATTCAACGTTTTGAAATCCTATTCGATAGAGCATGATTTTTTTACTGTCAGAATTACAGTAGGATTTTTGAGCAACATAGAGTTTGACCTGAACTGAACTTTGGAAAATTTAGATACAGTCGGCTTTATTTATCTCTAACTATTTCTCACTCTTTGTTTTTAGAGCATTACTTATATGGATACAAGATCGACTACTTTACTCAATGCCAAACTATTTGAGTAAGCTATTGTGATATTTTATGTCAAATAACCATAGTTGATTCATCTCTTGTATAGTAACATTGGAAAGATCGAAAGAGGCATTGGTTTTGAATTTTTAGTATTGTTGACTAGGTTAATCACCATCATTGGTTGTTTAATAGTGTCTTTCATAGTCCACTGGCAATTGACTTTGATTATGCTTTGTTTGGTACCTTTAGTGATTGGTAGTTCATTCGTATTTTCTAAGGTATGAAGTTTTGTTCAATTAATTAATTTTATATGAAATATCACAGCTCACTGCTAATGAAACAATGAATGAGTTAATGGCATACTCAAAAGCAGGACATATTGTTCAAGAAGTGTTTAGTTCACTGCGAACGGTTCTTTCTTTCAATGGTATCAAGTTTGAGCAAAAGCAGTAAATGAATACATAAAAATAGTTTATTTATTTGATATCACAAAATATGTTACTATATTTTTATTGCATTTAGATATGAAAAAGAGTTATCTTCAAGTCATTGGAGTAGTATACGTCAAGGTGCAATGTTTGGAATTTATTCTGGATGGCTATCCCTGATAAACTATTCAGTTTATTCACTTGGTTTTATCTTAGGTTCTGTTCTCAAGTCAAGCGAAGATCAATATCGCTCGAATATTACTGATATTCTTGTTGTGAGTTATTCATAGAATTAGTCAATAAGGAAATGAATATATGACTACTATCATAATTCAGGTCATCTCTATCTTTGCACAATGTTTGAATTTCTTCAGTTTTATTGGTCCTGACTTTCAATCATTTTCGGAAGCTCGAGGTGCAGCAGCAGCAGTGTTCCGGCTCATTGACGAGGTAATTTCGACTAAATTAAGGTCTCGTATTGATAGAAATGTTATTTATTTGTGTACATAATATAGGGAAATGATGCAAGTATCAATGAAACAGACGTATGGAAAGAAGATGCCGAAGCAAATTATGATATCAATGGTGACATTGAATTTGACAAAGTCAACTTTATTTATCCATCTCGAAAAGATGCACCAATTCTACGAAATCTCTCTCTTATTGCTCGAGCTGGTCAAACAACTGCTCTCGTTGGTCACAGTGGCTGTGGTAAATCGTTTCAAAAACAAAATTGTCGAAATGATCTTATTTGTATCCATAATTTATTTTTAGGCAAAAGTACATGTATATCACTATTAAATCGTTTTTATGAGCCTTCTTCAGGACAAATAATGATAGATGGTCGGCCAATAACTGATTACAATGTCAAACAACTTCGACAAAAGATTGGAGTTGTTAGTCAAGAACCCGTATGCTTTGTTTTTGTTTTTTCGTTTTGTAATTTCTCTTTTCATTCTCTATTGTAATAGCTTCTGTTTGATATGAGTGTTTATGAAAATATTCGTTTTGGTAAAGTAAATGCAACACGAGCAGAAATTGAACAAGCAGCACGAGAATCAAATGCACATAATTTCATCATGCAATTACCAAATGTTTGTGTCAAATATTTATCTTTATATATGTATCTGTATCATCATCTCTCATTTAGAAATATGAAACACTTGTTGGTGAACGTGGTATGCACTTGAGTGGTGGTGAAAAACAATGTATTGCATTAGCTCGTGCTCTTGTCAAACAGCCTACTGTCCTCTTACTAGATGAAATAACAAGTGCACTTGATAATGTTAGTGAAAAAATTGTTCAAGAAGCACTCGATCGAGCATGCAAAGGTAATAATTGTTTTTTTTCTGTTTTTCGTATTGATATATCATATTGTACAGGTCGTACAACTATTATTATCGCTCATCGTTTAACTACAGTTCGAAATGCTCATCAAATATATGTATTAGATAATGGAAATGTGATTGAGCAAGGTACACATGAAACACTAATGACAAAAGAAGGAAGCAAATATCAAGCAATGGTCAAGCGTCAACAAATGAAAAGAATCTATGATGATACAGATGATATTATGAGCATACAAAAAGCAACAGAAGAAGAGGAAAAATCTATAAGTATGCTAAAAATTCTAATAGTAATAGTCATTATTTTTCTTGATTATTTTTTCTTTAATAGTTGAGCGCTCTGGTTTGTTTAGCGGCGTATTAACTGTTGATGGGAATAAAGTACAAATCCTACTGCAATTAGCTATAAAAACTATTATTGATAATTCTTCTTTTTTAGCAAGGCCCAAAACCATTCAAACAGAGGTTTGTCTTATTAAGACTCTTATCAATGAATAGTCCTGAGTGGATTACCATCTTGGTTGGTTGTATAGCATGTTTATTGAGTGGCGCAGCTCAACCATTATTTGCATTTTTATTTGCTAAAACAGTCGATGTGAGTAATCCACCTAAATAAATATCGTTTAAAAATATTGTCAATATACATCGTTTTGTGTCATTTTGTTCATTATGTGTAGGCATTCAAATATTACTCAAACTCTGAACGTCATCGTCATGTGTTGACTATTAGCTTTCTTTTTCTACTTTTAGGTGTTGTTTTGTTGTTTCTACGTTTCTTTCAGGTTAAAATACTACTTCTAACATTGATCAATGACTAATTCACTGTTTTCTATAGTATACAGCATTTGCCATAGCAGGATCGAAATTGACGCAACGGATTCGTTTGAAAGCATTTGGATGTCTTCTTCGTCAAGAAGTTGCTTATTTTGATCAACCTGAAAACATTTCAGGTGCGATCTGTGCTCGTCTTTCTTCTAATGCACTAGCCGTCCAAGAGATGGTGGGTATACGATTAGGAACCATTTGTGAAGCTCTCACACTGTCGGTTTTTGGAATTCTATTTGGATGTTTCATAAGCTGGCAATTGACATTGATCACTTCTGTATCCCTTGTCATTCTATGTGCAGTCACCTATGAAAGTGTGTATTTACGTATATCACTGAATCAACAAACTACTCAAATTCTTGGACGAGCAAACGCGGTAAGATCAGATTTTAGTTGATAATCTTCCGTTTTGCAGGAAAAGTTATTTTATTCTCACTTTTTTGATAAGGTAAATACCCCACCATATTTTTTCTGTCTTTTACTTTTGCAGCTTGCTGTTGAAGTTATTCACAACATGCGTACAATGAAACAGTTGTCAATAGAAAAGGAAATATTAAGAAAATATTCTGAAATACTTCATGAAGTGCCTATGTTAGCCAACCGAATCTTGTAGGTTTAAAAATTATTAATCAATCGTATTATGTTATAGATTGTCTTGGAAATCTTTGGTACTACCTTCAACAGCGTATGGTATATTCTGGATACTAGATATATATACTTTGGCATTTATGTATTGGCGTGCTCTAGTTCTAGTTGAAAAGAACGAAATCACCTCGAACAGTGTGATAATGTAATTAAAACTACAGTTCAGTAATCTAGAGACAAAGTTTCATTATCTTTTCAATTTATTAGGGTTTGTTCTCTTGCTGGTTTTTCGATTCAAGCACTCAGAGTTGTCGGAATGAAGTGACATTCTTATTCTCGAAGTTTGATTTTTTTCCATTTCACAGTCTCCATTCTAGATCTTGGCGTATTGCTGCTTCAATGTCAGCTGCTGAAGAATTTTTTGATTTATTTGATCGAAAACCTGCTATTGACAATACATCTGATGAAGGACAAGAATTGGTAAGAGAATATGGAAGTCAACTTATTTTGTTTTAATCATGTACAAGTCATGGATACAATATGATTCGTGTAGGTTGACTTTCGTGGTGATATCAAATTTGATCAAGTTAAATTCATCTATCCAACTCGGCCAACATCTATTATTCTTAACAAATTTCAATTTAATATCAAACCAGGTAAGTAACATATATTTCGATTAAACCATTTTATTAAAAATTTTTATTCACTGATAAGGCCAACGTGTGGCTCTTGTTGGTATGTTTAAATTAAATATCTTGTCGATGTTAATTTCATAATATGATTCGTACAGGTGCATCTGGATGTGGTAAATCAACAGTAATTCAACTATTAGAACGATTCTATGATGTCACTAGTGGTCAACTTGTGAGTATTTTTTTACCTTTAAGTTTAAGTAATTATATGAAAATTTTTCTATCAATCTAGCTGCTTGATGGCGTTGATATTCAACAATTAAACATTCATTGGGTTCGGTCTCATTTGGGTCTTGTCAGTCAAGAACCAGTTATGTTCGATTTAACAATTGCTGAAAATATAGCATATGGTTTAGAAAATGTTCCAGTAGAAGATATTATCAATGCAGCGAGTAGAGCTAATATTCATCAATTTATTCACCAATTGCCTCAGGTTAAACAATACCAAATTAAATAATTTAGCTACGTATTGCTATTGTATGATAATGTTTTTTTTTAGGGCTATGGAACAAAAGTAGGATTGAAAGGTACTTTTCTGTCAGGTGGTGAGAAGCAACGTATTGCTATAGCTCGAGTTCTTATTCGTCGACCTAAAGTACTGCTCTTAGATGAAGCTACAAGTGCCATGGATTCACATAATGAACATGTGAGCTGTTTTTTCCTATTTGTCAATGCAAGTTTCGTCTCTATTTTTCAATTATAGCTTATACAAGAAACTCTTGAACAAGCTCAAACAGAAGACCCTAGTCGAACAACACTCATTATTGCACATCGTTTTTCAACTGTTCGTTCGTGTGATTTGATTTGTGTCCTTGATAAAGGACATATAGTGGAAAGTGGTACTCATACAGAATTGATAAAACAACGTGGAGCTTATTACAAAAATGCTTCCTCAAAACAATTTACAATAATTAGTAGTGAAATATTTTGAAAGTGAAAGTTTACTTTGTGAAACATTAAGAGAAACCTTATCTAAAAAAAATTTGACACATGACATATTTATATTGCTCAATTTACTATATAATTATTTTGTTTTGGTAAAAAGTTGATTGTTTCATCAAGCTATAGTGTATTTTATCTACTGCTTATAAGTTATCAGTTTATACCCAGGGGTGTCCCGTACGGGCGGAGGAAGGCTAAGGATAACTTTCCAATCTTACGAAATTTCTTCTTGGTTGATGATTTACAAAAATTTTAAAGAAATTTTTAAAATTTCGATAATTTTTAAAATTCTTGAAAGGGTCATCGGCCATCTTAATTTTTGTCATTTTGAGACACCTCGGTGAGATGGTTAAATATTCGGCTAGGTTAATGCCAGATACATAATGTTAATAAGTTGATTAAGTTGTCTCTTGACGATAAGTAATAGAGAGAGAAGCAAATATAATGATGTTGTATAATATACAACCGTAGTACTCACACCAAATACAATACAATAACTTGTACTCTCACAATAATACAACTCTTGCTAACAAAAAAGAATAAAGCAGACTAATAATCAAGCGCCAATGCATAACAACTGTAATGCAACAATGAATGCGACAATCACCAATCACGAGAGAGAGATACACAAAAGAGAAGAAGATGATATACTACAGGTGACGACACACGTTGTCGTCACACTCTGGTCATATTTGATGATAGTCCAAAGAATGATGACCCTAATAGCTACTTATAATTGATTAATTTACACAAAAACAATTAAATATGTAAAAAATAGCTTCATACCTTTTATGCCGCGATGATGCCTAAAAAGTAACCATTTTATCATGACTTATTGATCCGATTGATTGCTAAATGATATAACGACAAAGTCGTCGAAAAAGGTGATTTCTGCTGATTTCTTCTGCATTTTTATTGAACTACACAAATTTTTATTGACTTTTTTGGTTCAAAATTTATGCACCGCACAAGTGTCCTTCGACAGGCAGAATGACTAACGACTATAATTGGTTTAATATTTCATGAATTTCATGAACATGGCAGGGTGTAGAGTGTGGTTGTGAGTCTCTTCTATATCTACACTCATACCCATTCCCACATCATTTCTACTCTCGAACCATTCGTTTGGTCAATGACAGCCAGATATTTATTTCGTTGTTAAAGAGTGTCACAGGGTTGAAATACTTCCTATCATTACGTCCCTGATTCAACTGCTAGGTGCCTATTTCAACAAGAAAAGGAAGTTGATTGCTCGACCTATCTTGAATCATATTCAGCACAGTGGCATGGCTATCAACTTGTGTGAACGAAACAATATACTTCGATCATAACAAAGTAGTGGCGGAGCTACAGCAATTTCTTTGAGAATGCTTGAGGAAATCTTCTTTTTATATAGACTGATAGTAAAAACAAAGCTCTATATTTCTACATCATTTGATCATTGTTCATCTAATATCATAATAATAAAATTTCCATTAGACTTGTTTAGCTATAATATGTAACAATGACATTAGTCCATATTGGAGTCAGAGCTGCCAACAGGCCACTTTTTTCAGCCTGGCCTGACCTGGCTAACCTGGTCTGCCTGGCTAAATTTCAAAAGTCAGCCTGCAAGGCAAACCAGGCGAACTAATGTTACTCAGGCTTTTTATTATTATAAAATTTACAAATTAGCATTAATCTATTGTATACATTTCAATTTGTGATCCGACTTGTTTTCATGAGAGCAATAGAATCTAGTATGCCAATTCTCAACTAAGAGCATTCATGAATCAATTTTAAGATTGGTTTTATGAAAATCTTTGACACATGAATATGGGCCTAAGTTCTGAAATGGAACACTTTCAAACATGTAGTCAATCAAGTAGATGTTGAAATTTAGGAATTTATGTGAAGGTATTTGAATCTTTTTGGAATTAAGTTATAGCTATGTGGATATGGAAAGTATCGATTATCTTGAATACTTGCTGATATGTAAGGTATCTTCAATCTCAAATACGTACGAATGAGAACTTCTCAAAATTAGCTTAAAACCTTCTACTAATCTTACGGTTTGTTGACTTTTATTCACACGATAATTTTACGAGTGGACAGGACTTAATTCTCCATCATGTTCATTAAACGAAACTCTGAATTCGATACTAGTTGAGACCAGCTCTTCGAACCATGAAACTCTTTAACTGAGTAACACGATCTTCTTTAGTATAAGATTGAATAAGTAAGAAGAATTTTAAATAGTTTTGACATAAAAAGTGCTAGAAATAATTGTAGCTGTGTATCATCAAAGGAGAAAATTCAAAAAGAGAATGAAAAATTCTAAATGTCCGAGAACTGAAATTTAATAGTAACAAACACGGTCAAAAAACCTTATCAAGCGTATAAAAACTTTGATTTGACTTGATAATCAACAGAAAATATCAGAAACAATCAGCATCGACTCGTGAAGTCATCTTATTCTTAGAATTGAATACTGTAAATGTTAGTATTAAATCATACCCAAGCTAAGAGCTTTAGACTGGCCTGACCTGCAGACTAGGTCAAAAATTTTCTAGCATGATCAAGCCAGGCGAAAATTTAAAAATCCAGCCTGGTCTGCCGCCTGGCAGACAGCAAGCCAGGCTAGCAACTTTGATTGGTGTGTGGATGTTGGTGTAGATTTCTGCATCGTTTAAGTGAATATCCACACTCACACACACACACCCGTCCCCGGACCCACGCCCACATCCACACCCTCATAGCTTCGAACTGTAAGAAAATCTTACAACCGAATAAAATATTTGTCAAGATGTTCTAAAAATAAATGTAATCATCAAACTGCAGACATAACCATAATCAAAAAAATGAGAGCCTACAATGAAAAAGTGGAAAAGAGATCTATAGTAGGTGATGAAACCGTCGTCAGCAAGCGAAAAACAAGAGAATATCTCAGTAGTGAAAAGAAACTATATGAGACGGAATAACATAAGAATTACTTGTACGAATGTTAACAACAATAGTTGGTGCTTCGAAGCAGGTCCATCCATTTTTTACAGAACGTTCTGCTGGCAATAATTAAGTATGCTAGTGTTATAGCTGTCGTTCAGTTAAGAGTGTGGGTATGGGTCAATATTCTCCCTTCATTCACGTCCACAACCACGCTACATCGTCAAAAATTAATCAAAGGGAATTTCGTCCAAGTTGAAATCAACGGATATACATGTTAAATAATATTTTCACGCTACATCTTTTGTTACTCATTGTTTTTGAATAAAACATGAAAATATAAAAGCTAGTCATTCATGATCAATCATCAACTATTGTCATTCACTATTACCAAATATGAATTAGCTATCGAATGAAAAGGAAAAAATAAATTTTATTTCTTTTTTTTTTTCATTACTTGATAAACTTAACAGATAGAATTTTCTTCTAGGTTCAAAACATAATATTTTTAAGAAAAGCGTATTACTTTCATAAAGATAGCAACTATTCCACATCGGCTTTTTCTCATCGTTTTGCACAAATAATCCTAGTCTTTTTTAATGAAATATGAATGAAATGATGTTCTTTTTTTTCATTTTAGTATTGTTCGATAACATTCTGAATCATTATTGTATGATGAGAATACCATGTCGTCAAAATCGCCGACGGTTTTAAGTTTATTCGTGATAATTGAAAAAAAACAGTAGCGATTAATTGATGGTTTTTTAGTAAAAGACGATTAGACAACAATATTATAGCACAAAAAAGGATTCATAATCATTCAAATTGGAAGTTTTGTTAAGGTTTCTGTTTAACTATCAATAATTAAAATATCTATTATTAAATGTTTCTAGTCTTAGAGTCAGTTTCATGACTGTCTTTTATGAACAAGCTTCGGACTATATACCTATTGGATAATTGCTTTTAACCAATAGAAAATGAAGAAAGACCATTGTGTATCAGTTGGTTTCTTTTGTATTCTAAAAACAAGATCTAACTCGGAAAACAATAATTTGACCAAGATCGAGTTGATATTAATCTGCTGATGAACTATTATACGATTGTACATCGTGCGACATCTTTCTATCACCAATCGATACATTATAAATTATCGGTTCTTCGGCTTTAGCTCTAGCAAATTATTTTGAAGTCTAGTCTTCATTAAGCAATGTCATAATGAATTAAAATATGTAATTAGTTAAAAGATAAATTCAGATTTAATGCACGTTTGAGAGGTGAATTAAGTCTATCGCACTAACCAATCGAAAAAGAACTTCATCCACTAATTAAAAGAATGAACGTGCCTCGATAAAGTTTCATTAAAAAATATTTATAGCGACATGTCCTTGATATGATACTAGACCACAAATTATATGAAAATAAATATAGAAAGGTCGAAATGAAGAAAATTATTGTTTTTAAACGAAATAGCTGATCAGAATAATAAATCTCTTGATAATAAATTTAAAAAATTTGTTTTATATATTATTGAGGCGACAATTCGTTTGATGAAATGTGCTAGAATTATGCACTTTCAATATATTTTGTAAGGGTAAGTTGTGAATTCTGCTTGAGGGATTAAAGTTATAGATGAGGATGCATGTCGATTACATTCGAAATTAAGAAGACAATATTATACCTATTCCAATAATTTCGTATTCTTTTTTTTTTAAAGTAGATCCACGGATACAATAGAGTATAGATTAAGATAATATATCGATAGATATAATTTATTCTTTGATCAAATACATAATTGATCGATTACTTTTTGTTATCTGTTTTCTTCTTTTAAATTTATAGATTAATAATTAAATGTACTAGTGAAGATCATATAGAAATGTTTATTCATTATTCACAATATATATCATTATATATTTTCATGTAAAAGAAAGGTCAAATACATTACTTTTATTTGTTCTTTTTTTATTCAGTAATCGAATGTAATAGTGCTTATTTATTTATTTATTTATTTATTTATTTATTTTGTTTCTAGTTTAATTGATTCATGAAATACGAAGGTCAATGTGTATGAATGAAAAGGAACCTAAACAAAAAACAATTGTTTCAACTTGACAATAGCATGAATAAGCAATCATGCGAGAAATTATTCCCAATGGTTTACGATAAGAAATGACGAGTATATGCAACCGTGTTTATAATGATCATGATCAACGATTTGATTAATCATAAAGTTAATCGATTTGCTGAGTCATGATAAAATTATCGATATTCATCATATAGGTATGTACTAGGTATTCTTCGTGAAGGTCTTGACATAAAATATTCATTCATTATTCGCTTTTTCTAAATATATGCTCAGACTTTTCGTTTAAAATAAGATTAAACAACTATCATCAAGTTATTTTAAAAGGATAATTGTCATGATTGAATGGCTATGCTATTTGACTACTTGTGTCCATAAGATACTGTATACAAGTCTCAGTACTTACAGTCATGAAATGATCCTGGACAAATCACAAATGATCATTGATCTTGGATCATCCATCTAATAGTACTTTATGACATACAAATGTTCTTATGATTAGTTAGTGTGTATGAAAAGCTAAAGTAATGTAAGGCAAGAATTTAGCGTTAGAGTGACCTTCTATCTAAAGCTATAGTTAGTTATAGCTGTACGAAAGATATCGAGCTGTTGAATCAGTAATTGTACATAATATTATTTTGGTTAATTTTGTGTTTCGAATAAAAACCTATAAAATTCAAAATATTAAACGATAGCATTTTTTACCGATACCGGCTTCCATAGAAACTACCTCCCTAGTGAAAATTTATAGATTTCATTTCTAGTAATATGTAATTTTGTACATAATTCAGTGCTCTATAATAATGTTGAATCAAAATTGTTCCAAGAAATGCTAAGACGGTTCGAGAAGAAAAATCGGAATATTTATTCGAAAATAGTGTAAAATTCTGATTTAAAACCAGTTGTCATTTAGTATCCGAAAAATAAGCGAATATTTTGTGTCAAGACTTTTTACGCTATAGGGCATAAATTTTTGCTTCAATCATAATAATGTCATGTTCGTTTGAAACTATCTACAATTATTCTTGAGAAAAAAAATTCTGAAATCGAAATATTATATGTTATTCAACTATATGGGATCAAATTTAGTTGATGTATTGATTGCTTTAATAGCATTTGATAACATATGTTATTTGTCAATTCATTCTGATTTAGTTAAAGACGAATAGAATTAAACAACGAGATTTGGCTGGTAAATGCTATAAAAAAAGAAAAAAATTATTTGAATCTGTATTTAATTCGTTTAGAAATTTCGTGAGGTCAGTTATATGTTTCAAAAAAACTAATATTTATAGTTTTTTTCGTCAATAATAATATAATAAATCGTAAATTTAATGGAGTGCTTCTTAACAGTAGCTGCATTCGTTGATATCAACGACTAGAGTACTAATCAATAGCATAATGGGGGGTTAGTTGATGGTTATATAACAAAAATAACAATGTTGCTTTGAAGAAAAGCTTGTACATTTTACCTAGATCATCAATAATAGGACGATTAGGAGAAAAGCTATTCTGATAGTGACGCTTGCCATCATTCGTTTCGTTTTCGATGAATTAAAAATTTATCTCATTTTCAAAACGTAATACAAATAAAATTGCTATGACTTCTCTTGTTCCTAAATGAGACTGTTTCTATATTGAATAGTTTAATTTTGGGTATCATTTCGATAAGCGACTTTTTTTGTCGCGTTCATGCAATAGTCTAAACTACACATTCTTATCATCAATGTTTAATAATAATTAACTAACATTTTCAAAACAAATTTGTATCAAAGATTATTTTTACCGATAAAAAAACATCTGACAAGATTTTATAGTGCTCTGACTGGTTATCTGATTCATTATTTCTTTTACAAATATCTGGGAGAATGTACCTGCTTTTTTTGTCGAACAAAACTTGACTTTTGGACACATTTGACCTCACTGTAGTAGTTGCATCTACTATAGAGAAGTTCTAATGTACTAATATTCTACTTATCAGCATTTACTAATGCAAAGCGAGGTCAAAATGGCCTACGTGATCGATTAAGGTAAATAATTTGCTGATTTTTAAGCCCTCTATCTAAAGCTGAAAAAAGGATATGCTCTTCTAATATTAATAATAGATTGATCTAATCTTGGCAGATGCCTTAGTTTTCTTTCATTACCTAACATATGATCAAATACTTAAGAATAGCCATTTTCATTTATATTCTACTTAATTTTTCATATTTTGTTAGTAAGCCAATCGAATTCAATAATTCTTTTTTGAGGAATCTCAATTGTTAATTCGCACTTATGAAGTTTAGTCTTTCTCTATGATTGTGTGAAAGTACAAAACTTTGAAAAAATATTAATTAAAAAGTGCAAAATCGATTTTCATAAACAACGATTCCAACAGGTATGTGTTTTTTCATCACATTGTCTGATTTCACACGTTGTACAATTACATATATATATATTTTGTTGAAAGGATTAATCTCTTGTATAATATATAATTAAAAAAGTTATTTTTCGAAGAATTTGTTCTTTGGTTAGTCGAACTTAAATTTCAAAATTCAAAAAATTTAATTTCTATTTTCTTTTTCTGTTCTTAGGAAGTTGGTCAAACTTGTTATAAAGATATTCATACAAACTAATAGAAAATCATGAATTCTCGAATAAAATAAAAAAAAGAAATATGTGATCAATTACAACAACGAAGAAAAATTGTTTTTTTTTCTTTTTCTTTTTCTTAATCTTTGTATATATATTTTTTGTTTTTTAAAAACCTGATTTTTATGAAATATAGAAAAAAAAAACAAAATAGAAGAAGATAATATTATGATATATGTGTTTATTAGTAATACGTGTTGAAATCAACAAAAGAAAAAAAGCAATAGTAACGTCTGATTCTCTTAAGGTATACGCCACTAAAATCTTCTTAGTGCATTTTTTTTCTTTTTCTCTCTCTGCTAAACACAACACACATACTCGTACCCTCCATCACCATGATTTGCACGGCCGTCATCATCGTCTCTTACTTATAATAGTACATTTGATATTCATGGTATGTGTATTTTGTATTGGAAAAAAGCTGTTCTTCTTATCGGTGGTTTATTCCCTTAGATTCTATCTTTCTGCTCTTGTCTTGTTTACATATATTGAAATACTAATCATTTTGTGCTCTACCAAAATATAGAAAAAAATCTATTGAAAACTATTATTGACCTTTTTTTCATGCTGAATGATCTTATATTACTTGTAGTTATAGATTGTATCATAACATTACTTCAATTTCTTTTTTACTTTTGTTTTTAAAATTGTACTTAAACATTAGTAGAAGAAAGAGAACACGTGTGGTGAAAGAACATTAAGCAAAAAAATAGATTTTGAGATGAACAACATATGCCCCGTATAAGCATAGAACATCGAAGAAAAACATTTGTTATCGCAAAAACGCGGGCGAACATGCCCGCATGCGCTCTATATTCCCGAGTAACGAGAACGACGAGTGTAATAGAAGCAAGAGGGGAAAAAAAAGAAGAAAAAAAAGCAATGGTAGTAGTAGTAATGGGGATGCAAATAAACGAGCGTTGACGTTATATATTTGTACCACGCGAGAAAATCGAACAACAAGTTTTAAATTGCGCTATTCATTTGTCGATTTTTAAAAACATATCAAAGAAAAAAACAAACTCTTCTTTTAAGATCTCAAAATGAGTGCTATACCACAACATCAAACATCAATCGTCAATCCTGAAGAAGTAACATCAGCAATACATGCTGCATTTGCTGATTTTCTTGCTGCTGAACCTACTACAACTGCTCTTCTTTTACATCATCAACAAAATATTGATTCAACAATATTAACTAATGAAATTACACATAATGATAATGATTCAACAAGAAATAGTCGACCACCAACACCATATGCAATTTCAACGCATACATACAATGGTATAATCATTTTGAGAGGAGAGAGAAAGGATAAATATTTCATAAATAAATTAACATTTAGATTCACCATCTTCATCATCAACTACAAATACAACAAATTTACCACGTTATAAAACTCTTCTTGATAAATATACACCCAATAATAATCAACAAAATTTAACTACATCAAATAGTAATAATCTTATGGAAAATTATTGTAATACTTCAACATCTTCAATTAATCAAAGAAAACGACCTATATCTAACGAATACAATTCAACAAAACGATTTCATCCATCACAATCATCAACAGGTATATATATTATTTAAAAAAAAAAGAACTATGTCAAGATATACTTTTTATTGTAATATAGCAAAGTTGGAAGAAATAATATCACCCAAAAAAAAAAATGATGTGTCTAGTAAACTCTGAGTTTAGATGTGCATAGTTTCTCATTGATTTTCTCATTGATTTTCTCATTATTCTATTGATTTGTATATGTAACCAATAGTAAGTGTGATGAATAATACCTGATACAGATTAACTAAAATAGTCAGAAAAATATCTATTATCATGGCCACAGCTGTATCATCTTTACCAGATGTACGTCAATCATCATCATTAGTTATTTGATGAAAAAAAAAAGATCATTACTCTTATCAGATGATTACATTTTCAAATTGAATATTCAGCTAAAGTTCATACAAATATGAATAATCAATCCATTAAAATGATTGACGATCAGGGTTACCATGTAGAGAATGAGTAAAAATTCAAGTACATAAATGTCATGAAGATTTTTTTTTCTATTAAACTTGTATATGACCTCGTTTAGAATCTTAGTACTATCCCACGTATCTGAATAGTCCGAATTTTCTACAAGAACTTTTTCAATTGTTTTTTTTCTTGTTCTAAAGCCTCTTCTCGTCAATCACAAGTGCAACAATATTCATCATCATCATCAACAGCAACGAATAGTGAAAATGGTTCAATTAATAATTCAAATAGATTAATACATTCTACAACATCAAATTATAATGAAACAAATCAAATTCATTCTGAAATTCTCAATTCAAGTGATGATGAAGATTCTTCGAATAATCTATTTGCTCCAAATAGAACATTAAATTCTTCATGTTCATGTTCACATCATCCATCTCAAATAACTTCATCATCATCATCAGTTATTCGAACGAATCATCAATCTATTCCGCATTCTCAATTATCATTACCAATTCAACAACATAATCATAATCCATCTCATTTACGACATCATTATCGTCAACAACTAACATCCGAAATACGTCGTCAACGTCTAAGTACATTTCAAAATCAAACATCATCATCAACAATGATTACAGCTGATCAACATTTACATGCTATTTTAACAAATCCAGCAATAATAACAACAACAAATAATAATATTCGTAATCATCATTTAACAATTCAACCAAATTCAACATATAATACAAATTCAAATATGAATATAACAACACGAAATGAAAATAATTCATGGCCATCAACATCATTTTTATTTCGTTCATTTCATAACTTAATTTTTTTACGTAATAATGAACATGTTTTTGAAGAATTATTACGTATGGAAGAACAATTAAATGGTTTAAATAATTCAACAAATATAGGTGCAAGTCAAGAACATATTAATTGTCGTACATTATCATATAAATATATAAAAGAAAAAATTTCTATGGAAGAAAAATGTACGATATGTTTATGTGAATATGATCAATATGATAGTGTACGTCGTTTACCATGTATGCATTTATTTCATATTGAATGTGTTGATAAATGGTTAATACAAAGTAAACGATGTCCTATATGTCGAATTGATATTGATTTCCAAGGAGATTTTGGTGATTATACTTGTTAGAGTAAGAAAATAAATAAATAAATAATACTATTGTTTTATTTATGTATAAACATATTGTGATTGTATTTTTATTATTCGAAGAAAAAAAAAAGAAAAGAACAGATTTGGTGTATTTTAATTTTCAACATATATATATATATATTATTTAATATAAACGTGTCATTTTTCTTTTGTTTTTTTTTTTCAGTTTAATTTTTCGAACTTTTCTTTTCTTTTCTTTTTTAACAATAAAGAATGGCTCTCTTCTTTTTGTCTTTTTAATCACGTATTTAAATGAAATCTTTTCCTATTCAATTATCAAATGAAAATATATAAAAGTATGCTAGCATGTCGTTTGTATCCCATTAATTCAATTTGCGTGACTTGTAACCACGTAGAGGAAAAAATGAGAAAGTATGAGATTTTTCTCTTTCCTTTCATTTCGTTTGATTCTTTATTCGATGCATTATTAATAGAGAAAAAAAGTTGCTCGTGCACTCTCTCTCTCTCTCGACAACACTCATTCATACGCATTTTATGATGACAACCTGCGTAGGTTTATACATGTTCCTTCTGCTAAAAAAAACATATAAACCATGACAACGACATACTTTCAGTTCGAAATAATATGTGATCTAAATGAGATAATATCCTATGACGAACACGATAAGATGATAATTTGTGTTTTTTTAGATGTTTGATCGAATTTGGACTTTTCTAATATTTTTATTTGATTATTTATCAACGATTATTAAAACTTTACCACGTGATATTCGTGGTCTTTATAAAATTTTTCGACATTCTTTCATAATTAAATATAATGTGTATCGGAAACGAGATTTTATAGCTATATTTCGTGATAATGTGAAATATTATAAATCAAAACCATGTTTTATTTTCGAAGATACATTTCTGTCATTTCAACAAGTTTGTTTATTTTGAAAAAAAAAGATGAAACTGATAATTAAATGTTTTAATCAAACTTAATTTTTTTGTTTAGGTTGAAGATTTAACAAATCAATTAGCAAATTACTTCTTAGCTGAAGGTTATTCTCATGGAGATGTTATTGCACTTATGTTAGATAATTCTATTGAATATCCATGTGTATGGATTGGATTAAGTAAAATTGGTTGCATCACAGCATTAATCAATTCCAATCTACGTGCTATACCACTTCTACATTCCATTCGAACGGTTAATGCTAAAAGTATTATTACTTCAAAACATCTTCTTCCAGGTAAAATATTTTCATTTTTTAAATGTTACTATTAATATTGACTTTTCATGAAATAGAAATCGAATCTGAACTAAAGGAATTAAATATAAATAAAGTTTATTTATTTGATACAAAGCATAAATCAACAACAAATATTAGTAATGGTTGTACATCAATATCATCTTTTGAAACCGTTCAATTATATGAAAAACTTGAACAATGTTCAGCAAAACCGACAAAACCTATTCCATATAATTTAAAACGTATAATAATTGAAAGAAAAATAAAAGTAATTATGTTTAATTTTAATTTTTTCTGTTTTGATTAGATCCTGTCTTCTATATTTTTACTTCCGGAACAACAGGATTACCAAAAGCAGCTGTTATTAAACATTCAAGGTTCGTTGAAAAGATGTCTATTCATTCTTATATACCAAAATAATAGATAGTTTTAGTCATAAAATGAAGAAAAAATCCAAGATGATTAAGAAAAGTGATAGAAACGTCTTATCTGCTTAATCATTCTTCTCAAAAAATAATAAGAAGAAAATAAGCTTCTTTCACAATGACGTATATATACAAGAAAATAAAAGATAGAGAACAAGACTATTCACAGACATACATGTAAAAATATTTTTAATACCGTTCTCAATCGATTTTACTTCTTGGTTCATATTACTTGAAATAGTCATCCAAATCCTTACTAATTCTCAAATTAATACAGTAGAAACCAGTTAGAGTTATACATGTTGATTACGTTGAAAAATTGTTGCAACAACTGAAGCCATATGTTTGTGTATTACTATGAAGCTTAAATATTGTACGAACAACCGTAAATAATATGCGGAATAAGCTTTTAATAAAAAATAGACATTCTAGATGATCATGTTGACTATTTCATACAAACTCAAGTGTACAAGAAAACATCAAGCCTGTGACATATTGGAAGACTTCCCTCAGATAATCGAAACACAAGATAGTTCATAAGACAACGTCTAAAAATAAATTTTTATTAAATAATTTTTTAGTTTTTTGATTTTTTTTATACTATTTATAATCATATTTATATCGAAACTCAATAAGGATAATATTTGGTTTCTCTCGTTTTAGCAATGTGTCATATCTCAGTTAGAAAAATCATGAAAAATAAATCCTAGAAATGAACATGATATTGGAAAACACACTTCTTTTCTTGTAGATATGTCACGAAGTTATTTCAGTTTTTCTTTGCAACATACGCTGAAAACATTTTTAGATTTCCAATAGGTAAAACAGACATTTCCGTGATCATAGAACTTAATTAATGAAATGCGTATTTGCACCAGTAATAAATGAAGAGATCTTTCTACAAAAAGAAAGTATTTAGTAAAATCTCGTTGAGTATTAATTAAAAGAAATCTTTGCTGTTGCACTCTCTTCTAGAAACTCAGACATGTTTTTCATCATGAAAGAACTCAGTCATAATTGAAGAAAACATATAATCGAACACGTACATATCAATCTATATTTTATGAAGTACTTTCAAGCCTGAGAATGCATTTCTTTTTGCAAAAAGAAGATGCAAATATATTTTTTGAAGCAGCTATAAAAAATACTACAAATACACACAAAATGTGCATTCAGCTGCTGTTTTTCTATAAACTGTTTCTTTGTAGACAATCACATTTAACATGTTAAATTTTAAATATAAGTAGACTGCGATGTGATATGAAATGCCTGAAAAGGATTCTGTCGTTTTTAAAAGACTCAAATAATATACTTTTTGACGTTATATTTTGTTTATAATTATGTCTTTAATACAGTCTAATGTTCTAACGATTCTGATTCAAATTAGTGCTTCCGTCACGATATAACCTAGCCTTAAAAAGACAACACAATCTAATCAAAGTTTTGAAAAGATTGAGCTGCCTTCAAACCTATTAATAAGAGATAAGATTTTAGCCGTTCGAAAGAAGCTGTGTCACTGCATAGTTCTAGGTATGATACAATAATGTCGGTTTATGACCAAAATACTAATCAGTGGCTTACAGAAAAAAACTATTGATCGCTCTATGAAGATGATACAGAACACTAATTCTCAAAAATACGCTGATTATGCGTGGCACTGATCCACGTTCAAATGCGAAATTGTTATTGTGATCAGTCTAACAGTTATAAATACAGCACCAGGTAGTGTGTGGATTGCGAGCAAGAAAATCTAGCACATTTCTTAAAATTAAACCTCTGCTTCATCTGCATAAAACTATTCGTATTTTCTGAAGCCCTCTGAGTGACCATTGAGTCATTGACTGACATTATTGAGTCATGCATAGAACCGTGCAAATATACGGCCTCTTTCGGATGATCACAGGTACTAGCTTTTATTTTATTCCTATCAAAATTTATTTCCAAACAAAGACTGTGCAGTGACTTTTTGGACCATCCTGTATATAAACAAAGTATTAAATTAAAAATGCGTTACTCACGAAAGAAGGTTTAAGAAGATGAGTCTTTTTTTTCTCATATTTCATCGAAGTCATTTGATAATTGAAAAATTGATTAAAAACTATCTTTGTTTATTATTAATTTTAATTTACAGATTTTTTCTTGGTGCATTCGGTTTTCTTGTTGCAACTGGTATTACCGATAAAGATATCATGTATGATACTCTTCCACTTTATCATTCCTTAGGTATATTCTATTTTTAAAATGTGTTTTTGATAAAATTTCTATTGTTTTTTTTTTAATTAGGTGGCTGGGTTTGCATTACTCACAGGTATATATTTAAATAAATAATTACTTAGACAAAACAAATAATAATTAAATTAAATTAAATTTTAATTTTGTTTTAGTCTCATAGGAGGTTGTACAACAGTATTACGTAAAAAATTCTCAGCGTCAAATTTTTGGAAAGATTGTGTCAGATATAAATGCACAGTAAATAAAAATAAAAAAAGAAATTTTTGTAAAAAGAAACTGTTTATATTTTTAAACAAGGGTTTTACATATGTTGGTGAATTATGTCGATTTTTACTGGCTCAACCACCAAGTGAATATGATAGAAAACATTCAATACGTTTATGTTGTGGTAATGGACTTCGACAAAATTTATGGATACCATTTGTTGAACGATTTAATATACCACAAGTTTATGAATTTTATGCAGCTACTGAAAGCAATGCTTACTTCTGTAATACCAAAGAACAAAAAAACTTTTGTTTTGTAATGTTTTAATCATTTTTATATTTTAGTTAATATTGATTCATATCCAGGTGCTTGTGGATTTTATTCATTGATTGCTCCGCGTGCACTTGGAAGTGTACTTGTACGATTTGATCCTGTAACATTAGAACCAGTACGTGATGAAAAAACAAAATTATGTGTACGATGTAAAGCAGGTGAACGCGGATTATTATTAGGAATGATTGAAAATAATATATTACACGCATTTGATGGTTACGTTAATAATCCAACAGGAACAAAACGAAAAGTTATTGAAGATATTTATAAACGAGGTGATCGTGCTTTTAATACAGGTAAAATCATTATTATCAATTGAAAATATTTAAAGCTGGCTTAATTTTTCCTTTTGTTATATAGGCGATGTTATGGTAGCAGATAAATATGGTTATTTATTTTTTTGTGATCGTACAGGTGATACATTTCGTTGGAAAGGTGAAAATGTATCAACAGTTGAAGTTGAAAATATTCTTATGAATATTCTTAAACGAAATGATGTTGTTGTTTTTGGAGTTGCAGTACCAGGTACGAAATCTATTTTTTATTGAATTCATAGAACTCTTGTAAAAATTTAAGTTTTCTCATA